GTCCCGTAGTTCTCGGGATAGGGTGAGCCATATAAATGAGCAAAGTGTACACGGGCATATAAGGAGGGGTGGATGAGCATATGTATGTGGTGCAGAAATATTCACTATATTTTTGAGAAATTGTTAATGACAATTCTAAGGTTCAATTTGGGGATTTCTTCTCGATTCTATGCAAGCATCTGGAATTGAAGTGAATCCAGTGCACCGAGGATTTTTAGTCTTAAACAGGACATTAATATTTTCTACAATGAGGTTTTGTTGCTTGGTATTCCAGCAAAGGTCAGGTGTCCTTGAAGGGTAAGAAGAGTGTGTGAAGCAAGTGACCTTTGTTTAGTTACCCAAGCTCCAATTCCGGCAGGTTCGATGGTCAACTTTATGCATGAGAATAATACCATTGCCTTCTGCAGGCCCATTCCCTGTGCATGCACACTTGTACAGTTCAACATTAAAAGTTTGTGAACTTCTATCCCTTGTGGTTTCATTTTTTTATTTAAAAGAGCTTTCCTAAAACAATGTTGTAGCATACAGTTGCATAACTAGTGCAGGGCAAGGGGGTGCTCATATGGCCAGTATAACATAAGCAGTTCCTCAGCAGACAATATATTCAGTCCACTGTATTTTATTTTTCCATCAAACAAAATGTCCCCTCATCCCACCCTTTCCTAACTCATTTGATGTTATTTTTCACTGTAATCCCTTTCTAACCTTAGTGATGCCTTGGAATAGGAAAGCCAGAATCAAACTTTCAAACCCAAAAGCGTTAGGGTAGGTGTCTCTGTATAAAAGAAGGGGTGGCAAAGAGAACTGAATCAGTCATAGAATCGTACATGAGCATTTGTACACTTACTTGCACCACAGCACTAGGCACTTCTAAAAGCACCTGGCGCTGTGGCATGTGCATTTGTATAAATGGCAAAATGCACATCAGTGCTAAGAAAATGGCAGCAGCGTGCTTTTGAAATAAAATGCATTGAAAGTGTTTTAGATCAAAAGCACACCACTGCGAGAGCTGATTTGGATCAGTGCCTCGACACTAGAAAAGGTCCAGTTTCTCTAGTCTCTCCTCGTAGGGCTTGGTCTGTAGGCCCTTAACCATACGAGTGGCCCTTCTCTGGACCCTCTCCAGGTTATCCACATCCCTCTTGAAGTGTGGCGCCCAAAATTGCATGCAGTACTCCAACTGCAGTCTGACCAGCGCCCGATAGAGGGGAAGTATCACCTCCTTGGACCTATTCGTCATGCATCTGCTGATGCACGATAAAGTGCCATTGGCTTTTCTGATGACTTTGTCACACTGACGACTCATGTTCATCTTGGAGTCCACTAGGACTCCCAGATCCCTTTCCGATTCCGTGCCTCCAAGCAGGCCATTTCCTAGGCAGTAGGTATGCTGGACATTTTTCCTCCCTAGGTGCAGCACTTTGCATTTCTCCTTGTTGAACTGCATTCTGTTGTTTTTTGCCCATATGTCCAACCTGTCCAGGTCTGCTTGCAGCTGTTCCCTGCCCTCCGGCGTGTCCACTTCTCCCCATAGCTTTGTGTCATCTGCAAATTTGGACAGAGTACACTTCACTCCCTCGTCCAAGTCGCTGATGAAGACATTAAAGAGTATCGGTCCAGGGACCGAGCCCTGTGGGACCCCACTGCCCACACCCTTCCCGGTCGAAACTGACCCATCCACCACGACTCTCTGGGTGCGACCCTCCAGCCAATTCGCCACCCACCGGACTGTGTAGTCATCCACGTCACAGCCTCTTAACTTGTTCACCAGTATGGGGTGGGATACCGTATCGAAGGCCTTCCTGAAGTCTAAGTATACGACATCCACCCCTCCTCCTGTGTCCAGGCGTTTCGTAACCTGGTCATAAAAAGAAACTAGATTGGTCAGGCACAATCTGCCTGCCACGAACCCGTGCTGGTTTCCCCTCAGCATAATTTGTCCTGCCGGTCTCTCACAAATGTGAGCCTTGATAATTTTTTCAAAGACTTTGCCAAGGATGGAGGTGAGACTGACGATGAAGGATCCAGACCTCCTGAGCCTTCCTCAAGGGCCTCTGTTTCATAAAGCCATTCTTCCATGGGCTTTGGTGTGTGAGCCGAGCCACATCAGCA